ATACTTGTTTGTGTTTGCTATTTAGACATTGCCATTCTTATCAAAAGTCATATTATCGGTGTAATGCAATTAATTTGAAGTTGTTTTATATGGTTCTATTGACTAATCTACGATCAGTTCACCAAAGGAAGAGTCCTTTCGAAATTTCTTTAGGTGATAATTACACTAATACAATGCTCAGTTGTTTCAATTAATTTTAAATCTATAAAAATTATGAACTGTAATATTCATCAAGGCAGTTTTGGTGTATAAAATCGTTCATCACTTCACGAATTCAAGTTTAATTGATCAGTCGATCCTTTTATTAGTTGAAATGTCGTTGATTTCTCTTAGCTCATCAATAAGAAACTGAATTCGACATTGGACATGTTCAATTTCATGTCTTAGATTCATCCTAGGTTTTAAGATTTTACAGTATATTCATTTTCTTGAGCAGTGAATCAAATAAATCAACTAAAACAAACAATGAGAAAATTCAGAAGTTATGTCTTTCTCTGATTTTCACGCCAAGGTGCCTTAGCACCACGTGATTTAAGACGTCCTTCATAATATTCAATAAAGATATTGTTGAAAAATGAGATAAACTCTAATGATAACTGATTAAAATCAATACGTTGTTTGTTTGCATTCCGTCGATACCAATGAGTATTAAAATTCATATGAAGATCAAAGAATATGTGTGAAACATCATAGGGTTTTTCAAGTTCAACAAGAAGATCATCTCCTGGAATTAATTGATTTATTGTTGTTGTTTCAAGAAATAAATTCAGATGTTCAATTGAATTCTGTTGCTTAGGACTTAAAATATGCACTAAATGTACCATAATGATAATGACATCTTTATATAACTCTTGTTGATCATTTGAATCTTTAATTGCTGAATCAATATAATGTCCGGCAAAATTTCGAATAAATCGAATAAGGTTATATATATTCATTTCAATTTCTGTACGAATAATACGATGATATTTTAATATTTCTTCAAAATTATGAGAATTTTTACATTTTGAACCAAATTGACACGTATTATTTATATACCAGAAAGAACAAAGATTTGTTTGTCGATAGGTTGATTGATGTTCATAATAACATTCACCAGATGGTTTTGTACATTTTCCATCTTTGATCATATAAAAACAAAGACGATGATCCCAAAGAGCCATTTCAATTGCTAACTTTTCTTTTGCTGTTTCATAAATATATATGAATAAAAGTAGTCCTTTTTCAAGACGAGCAAAATTAATTTTATCAGTTTCATTTCGAGTTGCATAAAAATTGGCTGTTTGAGTACTTGTACTAACATTTTCATTGAGTGATAAGCCAGCAGTCTTTTTTATTAAAGCATCCGTCTTTGATTTTTTCGATGCCATGTAGTTATAAAAGACGTATAAAAATGCCAACCAAGGTCGATTTTTTTCCACTCACGTTTTATGTATATAGTAGAGAAAGAAAAGAAAAATATGTAACAATCTTTTTGTTTTAACAGAAATGAGTCATTCTTTAAATATACGACAATGACAGCAAAGCAAATGTTGTGAAACATTTTTATTCTGTGAAATTGGAATGACAAAGTCACATACATATATCAAGTAAACTGCTCGAAAGAAAAAAAATATGAATCGAATGAGATTCTTACAAAAATTTGTATTTGTCAACATAGAACTGTTAGGTTTTGTTGATTTGAAATTCAATGTTGAAAGCTTCTACTGATCTTACGTGTTATTCATTAAGATTGCTGTTCTTAAAAAAAAAGCAGTCGGATCAAGCGATTTCCACAACTTTGTAATAAATATTCTATTAGTGGTTCTATTGCTGTGGTATTATCCGTTTTGAAAAATTGGATTTTAATGCACTACAATGAATTTCGTCACTTGACGCTGCATTTTTATTTTATTTGCAGACAATGCTGACGAATGAGTATTTTTCAGGTGCCATCTTCATTAAATATACAAATTCAAAAACTAAGGTAAAACAGCCAACAATCGATGTAGCCGATATAGATGAAACAAGAAAAGTTCAGATCAATGCCATTGGCTTCATTGTATTTATTCGAAATCTTTGTCGATTCATTTTACTTGCTTGAGAATCTTGTTCCCTAGACTGAAAGGCTAGGGTCTAGAAACCGAAATTCACCTGTGTCTGTCTGTCTGTCGGTAACACGGTCAAAATGGCCATTTTTTTGGCACAAACGCCATTTTTATGGCACAAACAACCATTTTTTTTGGCACAAGTGACCATCTTTTTGGCATAAACGACCATTTTTTTGGCACAAGTGACCATTTTTTTTTGGCACAAACGGCCATTTTTTTACTAAAATTAACTAGGTAACTATGGTACAAATGAGCATGTAACTATGGCACAAACGGCCACGTAACTATGGCACAGGTGACCATATAGCGACCATGGTACAAACAACTATTCCGGTAACTATGGTACAAATGACCATCTAAAGACTGATGTAAATGAACCCATAATAATCATGGGTAAAATGTTAATGGAATAACTGTAATTCGGGTAGTGGTGTAAAACGGCTTACAAAAGCATTTAATTAGTGAGAGTCAGACCAAATGAGCAGTATGGATTTAAAGAAATCGTTTAAATTATTCATTATTGTAGCATTGATTGTGCAATGTTGTATCAATGAATATCTAATTTATTAATAGTTTAGAATTAATGCGCGAATTGAAGCATAAAATATTGATTAATAAAACTCAAATTTTATGAATAATATAATTCATATTTTTGTACGTACAAATAGCGCCAATATAATTATAAAAAAATCCTATTGTTGTCTAATCTTATTGGGCGCTATTTATATTTATAAAAGCAAAAAAAAATAAAACAAAAACGATAAAAAAAATTAAATTTGTAAATGCATCATCTTTACTTAGAGTGAGAATTCTCCAAATTAAGTTTTCTGGTCGCCTAAGATATACTGGTAACATTATCAATTTTGCGTATTACTTTTTTAATGTAGCTTTTTATGTTATTACATTCGTACATGTATTCTATCCGTCTAGGACTAAGTGAATCGCTTGACGATGAACGTTACTTGTACTTTAATACATCGATATTCAGATCCATTTGTACCGAAAATAACTTGATCTAATCGAGATATTGACGAGTGACTGGTTTCTTTGAGTGATCGCTTGTGCTCTTTCATACTTTCATCGTGCTCAAAAGTGATCGCAATCCTTTTGAACAATGTTGCTATTACAAAGTTAATCGATTTTGAGGGTGTGAGTGTAGGTCATTACTTCCTTGAATATGCTGGTTCTCATATCTCATCTAACATGAACTAAAACTTATTAAATCAAATAGACATGTCATGTTTATTTTAAATTTGAAAAATTAGTATGCTTAGAAGAGAAAAAAAATATTGAATAGAATATTATCCAATTCCATGACTGTAGGATTAAGTGTCAAAATAATCATAATGGAAGCTTCAAAGCATTTATAATAATACTACCAACATGTGATGTAAGAGGTGCATGTATATTGTTTCGGTTTTCGACTAATTTTCTGATGAATGTCAAAGGATTAGAACGAACACGACATTGATGAAGTTGTAAAAGGTGACGGTGATCTGGTTTTTCCACAAATCCATCAATAGTAATCCAACCGTTCTCGAAAGCATCTTCTTCGATCTCGGTTCGAGGTTTCGGGCACAGTCCTAGACATTGACAATAGGCTGTTTGCTCTTGACTACTTTCAAAGTAGAGAGTACCGTTAAAAATAAATAACTTCGCCAACCATTCAATCGGAATAGGGAAAGCAACAGTGCCACAATCGGGCGAAATGGACGGAGGGATTGTTAAGGTTGTTGTATTGACTATAATGGATTGATCTCATTTAATACGTGGTAGCAATAAACACAACGTTGTAGTCAATCGTTTATTACATGATTGCTTATGATAAAGAAAGTGTAATTGACTCATTAACCAATTGGCTTCAAAAGGGCTCACAAAAATGATATGCTGATTACGATAGACGAGTATCCATCGTGCTGGACGTAGAAAAGGATCTAGTGATTCTCCTCGTGTTTGAATGACACGTTTGAATTCATTCGTAATCCACAGATTTTGTTGCCAACTATGTGGTTGACATTCACGATAGAATGTAGTACCAAGAAAAGCATCAGCGATAGGACAAAATGCTGAAATTAAATTTGATAAATTCAACATAGGACCTTGCATATCGCATAATTTCTTGATTTCATCGTGTAGTACCGGTTCACATGGACCGACAGATGACGGACGTTTTTGCTGTCGTTCTTCTTCCAATTCTTGTTTTCGTTCTAGTTCTCGTTGCTGCTCTTCATCTAACAACTGTGCAAGAAGTTTTTTTGAACCACCGTAATCATATAATCGTTTGGAAACAGCTTCATGAATTTCAACAGACGAACAAATACTGGAATGTGTATAACGAGCCAAATAAATCTCGAATATTGTTTGGAATGTTTTTGATACACCATACATTGCTTTCAATTCGGTGACTTCAGTTTCTAAACATTCTCGGGCTAAATTTTCCATCATTATATTTGTAAACGATTCTTCATGATTGATCCAGTGAATATTTTGAAAAGCATTAACTTTTCGTTGAAAACTTAAACTTTGCGTTGCCCAATGATGTAATCCATCCCAAGACGATTGTTGAGTATTTTCATACACCCAACGAAGAATATCAGTCAGAGTAATTCGATCATCGATATTTTCTTTTTCATTTGATAGAACTGAATTTTTTTTCATTGTTTGAATTTGTTGATGCACTTCAGTTGAACTTCAGAAACTTAACCAATGATGTTTGCCTAATTTTCGCATTCTCATACATGATTGAACTAAACGATCCTTGCTGAGACCATTTCCTAAGGTGACAGCAGCTCTAAATTCATTTGGAAATTTAAAATCTGTTCCTCTCGTATGAATTTCATCTAAATAAAATACACAACGATCAAGTCGTTCACTAGCAGGCGATGTCACAAACGCATGATGCTGATATTGTCAATCACAAACAAAAATTGAATCTGATTCAAAATAAACAGCATAATCAATTTTGGTTTTATCTGATAGGTCCAACCATTTAACAGCTATTTGACGATTTGTTTTGTCAATAAACAATGCACCAACACCTAGAATGACTTGTATAATTGATTTGTCTTTGACAATATGACTCAAGATGTCATCCGAACTCGTACTAATAGGCAGGTATTGATAATGGTCTTTGTTCGATTGAAGTAAATTATTAAGAACAATGGCATCAGTTTTCTGAAGTTCTGGTAAATCACATTGACGAATATGAACAGGCAATAATAATTGAGTATCATTTGTACCACTGAATCCAGTAATTATTTTTGTTCGTGAAGATGACGATAAATCCCAGGCAGAAGAAACTAATTTATGTGGAAATTGTTTTGCTTCTTGAGGAAAGATAAAATGATTGAGAAAATAATTAATAACTAACATATTATATCGTAGAGTTGGAAAGAGTTGTTGAGTTCGTTGTTGATAATCTTTTAGATTGACTGTTTTCCATTGTTTTATACTTGAAATTCTATCATTGTCGTCTTCTAGTGAAAGCCATTCTTCATAGATCATTTTCGGATCGCTTTCATCTTGACTCAAACGATCAAAACATTGAAGCATTTGTGAATCACTCAAACCATTACAGTAATAGGAAAGTTGTGTTAAGACAATAGCCACATCTGGATGTCTGAATTCTATATTTTCAGCTGCAACATCTTTGGCACGAAACGGTACGGCTATCAAACGATTGAATTTCGGATTTTGATTCACACCGAAATTAACACGATAGCGCTTTTTTAAAGCAACGAATAGCACTTCCGATGATAGAAGACCACGCATAATAAGAAATAATTGAATTGTGCTATAGGGAAATCGATCTATTAGACAATCGACGGATGAGTTTGCATCTAGAATGAATGATAATATATGTTGTTGATCTATTCGACGATAATTTTTTTCATTAAGCCAAGCATTTGCAATTCTTTGACATAATTCTGGAAATGGTCGATGATTAAGTAAACGAAATTCTGGAAAACTACTTCGACTTTCTGATGCTTTATAAAAAATGTCATCGTGGTATTGTTGTGCGATGTTTGTTGTGTGTTGTTTGACTAAGCTTAATACCAATTGAATGGTTTTCCAACGTTCCAAACCTCCATCGATTTGTTGTTGACGACCAATCGAATAAATCAATTGATATTTAACATGTAAGATTTCATCGGATTCATCTAAGACATCTCGAGCAAATGATTTCATCCAACGTTGAATGGACAACATTGAACGACCAGCATCAAATTCCTTTCGTCGACATTTATCTATTGTAAGCAAATCAAATGATAGAATATCCTCAGGTGAAGTTAATACGACATCACAATCACTTAATCCTTGTTGAAGACGATTGAAAATTTTATTCAATTGTATATCACTAAAATTCATATCACGACGACAAGCAAATGGCAGTATACGTCGATTTAGTAAGCCACCTAATTTATAACGTAGTGATTGGTAATTCATTGGAAATAATGATTTTAATACAATGATACGAACTAAACTCGAAGACGAAGAACATAAGCTAAGTGCTAACATTGGTAAAATAACCGAAGTTTTGCCTTCACCCATATTCATTTGCATAACAATATTGGATATTGAAGGATTGTTTTTGTTCATCATTGGTTGTATCATATGACGTGTTACTTCGATTTGCATTTCTCGAATCGTAATATTCATTTCAAGTTCCAGTATTAACCATGGAACATGCATTGATGGTGTCCAATTGGCATGAGGTATATTCGATATTTCTTTTTCAAAATCTTCCCATTTGCTCTGATTAGCAAAATGTAAAGCTCTTTCAATTTGTTGTTCTACAATCCAATTAACCATGATTCCACCGAGTAATATGCGTTGTTCCAATGTCAAGAACAATGATGATGGATTTAAACTATTCATTACGTTTCCTAATGATGAAACATTCGATTCAGTATCATTTAACCACATTTGTTGAAATACAGATATTAAAATTGTTGGTAGAATGCGTACTACTAAGCCTATTTTGAATAAGAACTCATATGTTATTGTAATGGATTTTACTAATTCGTTCCAGAATTCTACAGATTCTTGACGAAAAGAATCGAGAAATTGATTGATTTCTTCCACCGAAAGATACTCGTTTCGATATTCTTCGATTAAATTAAATTTCTCCCAACTTTCAGTTAAGTGTTCCTTGAAATGATTGGCTATATCACTGAGAGGATTAACTTGGGAATTAGTAGAAGGAAAAATTTTTTCTGGAAATGCTTTTTGCTGATTTGTGATTTGAACACATGCTGTTGGTTTAATAAAATAATTGGAATGAGGATATAGAAATTTTTGTTTTGCACTTTCGAGCAATTTTTGATCGATGACTTCGTTTGTCGAATTAAGGCGAATTTGATAGTGATTTCGAAATAGTTCGAAAGAAAATTGTTGAGGATTGACAGACAATTTGGTATTGAAAGGAATCAATATGACAGAGTGAAAATGATCTGACTGTTTATCTGGTTTATCTGTGGAAGATTGTTATTTTTATAAGTACAATTTTTAACAAAACAATCTTGAATTTTTTGTAAAGCTATACTTCGTTTATAACGACCGAGATTTCCTAGATTGATACGATCAGATTGAAATGTAGTTTCCTGAATATGTTTATATCGAGTGAATGAAGGATATAAGACGGATCTTAGTGTTTCGGTTGGTGCTTTCAATATGGATTTAAGCATTTGTAAATAAAATGGTTTACTAGAACATTTACTGGATATATAATGTAGAAAATCGAGTAACATTTCAAATCGTTCAATTTCATCTTTTTGATTATCAGCTTCGATTGTTCTCAATTGTTCGGCGAATTTAAACAAACCAATCCAGATATGTTTCAATTCATATTCACTTGAAAGCCATCGAGTCAAAGGAAAACACTTGAGTTCTGTGCTATCTTTCAAATTCACATCTCCACTACCATATAAATAATCCACAAGGCGAATAGAATTGTAGTTTGTTGCATGTGGACAATTTTCCCAAACTGGTTGGTATGATGTACTCGAGCTTGTACTGCGAATTTCTGCTTCCATCTGTGTAGATAATCGAACTGTCGGATTATATGAATCTCGATAGTCTCAGTAGAGCTTTGTCAATAATTTTTCATTATACTTTTTGCTTTCAAAGAGTTTCTGTAGTTCATCATTAGACGTGGCTCATGGATGCATAAAGTTCATTTGCTCACTTGTTTCGACTAATTTCTTTGCTATTAAATAATACCCAAAATGTTGCATTGAATAAGGTAAACTATGAGGATTCCACTCGATTTTTTCCATAGAAGTGAGATGTTCTGGGAAATAATTTACTTTTGGTGAAATGGTCGCAATTTGCAGAAGAATATTTCGAGAAACTGAATCAAAAGGTTGATCAGACCAACAACCAGCTGAATTCAATAATTGAAATGCACGATCCATTCCTGTCATTCCTGTATATTGATCCGGAAGGGGATAAGATGTCATTGCATGTAATAGTGCCAAATAAAGCCACCCTGTTGGACTATCAGTAGGTTGAAGAATACGTAAGCGATCATTTAAAATGAAAACAAAATATTGATAAAGAACTGATGTTGATGTTGATTTTCATTCTATAGTAACAATTTGATGTTCGTTGTCAGATTTTTTGCTTACTTGGACTTGTCCAAAAGGCACGATAAGTTTTCGACTAAGATAAGGTCTATTTGTTTGATTGATTGCTGCCGTGGGCGAAAGAAGAAGACCCGATTTCAAGCCTGTCAATGTTCCGAACCATTGTTCTGTATCGATATACATATCTGAATATTCACGGGACGTTATTAGACTCGTATTAACATCATATTTGAAGGCAATGCCTAATCGAGATAGATGAATATGAATAAAAGCATCGTCTTTTAACATATATACGTAGGGCTCTTCATCCAGACGGATGAAATACCGTTCAAACAAATTTTTAAAGAATGATGATGATCGATTAATCAAATATTGTCTATTTTCTGTGTTGCATGTTCTAACAAATCCTTTTTTTGAATACTAATATGTAGTGTATGTCATTTAATAAATTCGAATCTTGAAAATGGATAGGTCGAAATTCTACTATTTTCTTGTTTTCATTCAACCAATGACTGTAGTTCAATGCAAAAACGTCAGATGGTTCTTCCTCAAAACAATCTGGAGGGATTAGTTGAAACTTATCATTTGTTTGAATGTGCCGCTCATAGACTATCAATCGCCAGTTTGAATAATCATAGGTAAATTCCTAGTGAACTTTTCCATTGGCATGGTATCCATGTTTTGTAATATAAGTATCTTTTGATTGGGCTGCTTGCACTTCAAAAATATGATGACCAAATACACGAAAAAATAACTTATCTGAAGTGATTCTGTCTGGTAAAAATTTAATAGTCATATCATTAATCGAAAATATCCCTTTCAAACAATCAATTGATATCTTATTCGATTCATATTCACCATCATACCAACCATCATACAGATGTTTATTTCTTTTCTTCCATTTTCCATTTATCTTACCTTTATTTTGAATAACTGCCCAGTAGCTAGCACAAAATTCATTTAAAATTTCATAGGAATTTTTTTCAAGGAGTTCACTAACGGTTGGATGTATTGATACTAATACACGTTCACTAGAACGCATTATGTTTCTCATAAATATACTCATATTTGTTTTTTTCTTGCTTAAATTCATATTATCATGAATAGTTGTGACTAGTGTCAATAACGAGATAACATTTTCATTTGATAAAGCGAAAGAATTGCTATAATCTGTATACATTGAAAATGTTAATAGACATGCAACACCGATAATCACAATTTTATCACGCAATATGTCCATTTTATCAGAATCAGATGAAGATGGATTCTGAATGCTTTCCGAAATCAGTTGAATCCATTTGTCACCTACGTTACGACATTTTATGACAAGATTAATCATTTGATTTTTTCTTGTAGAATTACAAATGGTGAATACTCTCATGGCGATTATTGTTATGGTTACTAACAATAAATCGTTCTGCCAATTACATTCGCAATCTTTCAAATGACGCTCCAATCTCACAATTAATTCATCAACAAAATGATCATCTAATAATTGTTGATGTGATTCTGGACACCAGGGATAAATGAGTGTTTCTCGATTCATTGTCATTGGACCATATTGCAAGAGTGCATGTGTAATAAGTATAGCAACACTTTCTTCATTCATTGATGAGGAATCCAATTCAAGAATACTTAAAAGATTCCACCATTGTAAACGATGACCAGAACGAAATGAACCGAACTCAATGAATTGGGCTGGTTTCAATTGTAGTGAACACTTGGATAGTTCAGCAATCACTTTATTTTGTATACATTGCGTGGTATTGATTGAAAATTGCAAATCTTTATAATTTGAATCAGTTAATTCAGGTGTTAACGTTCGACATTCATCTTGGAATTCTGTTATTTTGGTTGGAGATATTTGAACTCGAAGGCTATTTTCGTATAGAAATTCATCCACAGGTGCTGAGACGACCTGTCGTGGAGTAGAAAAATGACTTTGTGATATTGATTGAGTTGCAGATACCAATTTCACTTTACACTTGTGTGACCCTTGGTAGAATTGTCTTAGCTTAGCACTATGAGGACTAACGCTCACCCATTCATGCATACAATGATGAGATGGATTCGGATTAGGACGATTGACGAATTGCCAAAGAATATCTCGAAAACATCTGATTTCATTTGGCATCTGTAGTTCAAAGATAACAGCCAGGGCACTTTCTCGCTGTGATGGTATTGGGCATTCATAAATATCAACTTTAATATTATTTGCTTTTTTTATAGTAGTACATCGATCACATTTTTGTAAATTGAAGTTCACATCACATTCACACTTTAAATCATAAGCTTTTTTCATGAGTTGTTCATACCTTTCTTTTTCGTTGTTCACTTCTTTTATTTTATCTTTTCTGTCTTGTTCAACTTGATCTTGAATTTTCTGTAGAGTTTCATTCATTTTCTGTGATTGATCAGCAAAATAAACACCAAAAGCATTTGTCGATTCTATATTGCTTATCAGATCTGGATATTGTTTGTCATTGAATTCTCGAAAATAATCATACAAATTTCGAGCTCGAATCATATCATCTCGATTAGGTAATATTAAAAGTTCAAATAGATCCAAAATATGTGGGATTCGAATAGCATGTAATTTCAATCGTTCGAATCTCTTATCTTCACATAATCTTTTATGCATCAAACAAATTATTGTCAATGATGTTAGAATAAATCGACTATAACCAATTGGATCTGTAGATTTATTATTTGAATAATAAAAATTCAAAGCTGCTTGTTGATAATCTTCGTAAAAAGATTGTAAATTTTCAAAACATTCGTATCCTTTTTCTGACATTAATGAGCGGTTGATCCATTCCTCTAAACAAGACTGTACCCAATTTTCAATGTGTCAAAGCTATTCCAATGGCATCCTCTCTATGATTGGTTAATGTTGAAATGGTAGGTAATGTATCGTTGTCATGAACCACTCCATTCGATGTCCAATGATCATAAGCATACGTACGAGAGTACTGTCTAAGCGATGTATTGGAATCGTGTTTATTGAGATAAGCTTTTAATTTCATACATGAATGCTGGTAGATTTCCTGCTCATTTGCATTTAATTGAAGTTTGGAGTATTTTTGCTTTTCTTTTTTTTCGATGGGTATTTGCCAATCGGGGTTCGGGAAAATACGATCAATTTTCTGTTTAATATCTTCTGTTACATTTTGTATCCACGGAAGATGCACATCATTCAAATCAATAGACGATAACAAAACTTCTATTTTATTCAAGTGTACAATTTATCGAAGACAATGTATGAGCAAATCAGAAGATACCCGAGAACCCATCGTTGCTTGTCTTGTAGAAATAAAATATGTTAAAAATTTTGTAATAAGTAATTTATAAACGATAGTACCAATTTTCTCCAAACGTTTTGTTAGAATGGTATGAAAAACAACTTTAACAGTCATCCATAAGCCTGATCGTCGAAAAGGAAACATTGAATTATTATATCGAATTTGATCACGATGTTTTTTCTTAAATGGAATAGATATTTTGATTTTATCATCCTTTTCGATTCCTTTGAATTGTGTGATCCACCATTGGCAGACATAATGTGCTATGGGTATTTCACGTATATCATTGAATACATATGATGCTTTGTGAGCCTTGGAATATTCGATTGTATTGTTCATAAAATCAACTAGTAATTCACACTGAACGTGAGATAACAGCTGAGATTCATCAGGCAATCGATATGTAGGTGTAGGAAAACACGAAAGATGTGGTTCTAGTGATGATGTTATAGTTTCTGTTGGTAATAGCACTTGCCAAGATGAGATCAATGATTGATTGGGTGGATTCTCATCAATTTCAATCAATACAGTAGCATTTTGAGCATGAAAATAGAGTGGCAGAAAATCACCTGATGTCAGCTTCTGAATAGTCGATTGTAAATTCGGAATAGAACAATTTTCTATCTTCTGTACAATTGACCAACGTTGAATACAATTCTTAAGGAGTGATAAGATTGATAGTTCATTTTTTTCATCTAACGACTCCAAAAATTCATTCATACATTCAAGTATTTTGTATTCATATTGATGGTTGGACTGACTTAAATAATCCTTGGCCGTTGATGATGATAGATCATGAGGAAGAAATAAATGATTTAGCATCGATTCATTCATGTCTTGTGAGTGTAACGAATCATAGTTGCTATAAGACGATGTCTGACGAAAATTTTTCGAAAACATCTGTGAAGTCAAAAGAAGAATCAAAAATTCATACACTCGAAAGAGAAAAAAGCTCTCAATAGAATCTCTATAAGGTTACGGTGTACGTCGGAGTGTGATCATGGATGTGAGAATGAGCGGAGCTGGTAAACTCACTGATAGAAACAGTCAGACTCAGACCTACAGCTTCACACCCACACGTATCAGTGGCTACAGCTGTGCCTAATGCCGTAGTTATCATTAAGCATATCATGGAGATATGGGTGTGAAGAGAGAGCACCTACGCACCCACCCACACCCTATTGTACTTGTATGTAGGTATTTTATACATCAACACAGTCTACAAAGATCTTCTATTCTTCATTTACTTTGACTAAGATACGTATTTATCTATAATCTGGTTGCTACTGTCAAAATAAATTCATTAATCACAACAGGTATTCTCATTTACTTCGCAAAAACTCACGATGTTATTAAAGACAAAGTGGTTTAAGTATTGTAGAGACATATAGCTAAGCGTACAGAGAGAACCAATTAGCTACCATTTCGAGACCATATTTCTTTGATCGAAAAAATATTATATGTGTCTACAATGGCACATAGTGAAATCCAAGCCATTCAAAACTTCTCTTTAGCTATTATACAGTCATCTTGTTCTCAAATATATCTTTGAAAAGAATGAACTGCGATGCTATCACCACTTACCTACTTACTGATAATTTCGTTGAGCTATTTTGGTTGCTTTAAAAGTTTTTTTGCATTCAATTTGGTTGCAGTTTGATCTATACTTACATAGAATTTGATCTGGGAAAAAACCCATAGAATCGAAAAAAGAACTCTATATTTCACTCAGTTACTATAGTTAAAGAGATGTCACTAAACTCTGGCAAAAAATAGATAAATTTATAATATAATTAGCTTTCTCTCCGCACTTATAGGAATTATCTGAGTACATTCACTTTCACCATAATTCAAGTAGGTACCCTATTTTTTTCGATAAGCTAGTTTAATTTTTCTCACTCGTCCATAATAGTAGGTATGCGCCTCTTTCAGCTGCCTATTATGTAGCTGGATTAAAATATCCTGTTAAATGACTTGAACTTGTTCATTGATAGGTCTTCTAATTTCGTTCTACTAATTATAATCTACGAGAGACTGTAATTGTCCATGTTCTCTGACCGCACATCGGCAAAGACACCTGCACCGTCAAGAAGTCCGTTTTTCGGTTTGCACGATCATCATATAGTTATATCTTTCTTTTTCTTTTTGAATTTCTCTTATCACTTTATGTCAAACTTATGTTTTTTTCAATTTAAATATTTCATTATTTAAATTAACTTAAGGGTGTGGAATGGATGAGACCATGTATGGCGATCATAATCTCTTCGAAAATCCAGAGATGGCCGAGTCAAGTCATTTTTGACTTGACTTGACAGAGTCATATATAAAAAAAAGTCAAATAAAGCCTTCAAATGTATATATATATATAAAGGTGTTTTATTCAATGGAATTTCGATTTTCTATCTTTTGTGTGAAGTAAGATAATGGTTGTTGAAAATTCGTAGAAAATCGTTTTCCTCAATTTGTATCGAACCATTCATTTCGCAAAAATCTCTTTAACGGAAATACGTTGTTTTGTTTGTTTTTATAACAATTAAATTTAAAAATAATTTAGTGAACAATAGTAAAACTTTAATATGAATCAAGGAAACCATTTTTTTCGATAACTTGACTTGGAATACTTAAGTGATTCGACTTGAGGGCATCAGTGTGTGTGTGTGTGTATTGGTGCGAGCCCTACAGCCACCCGTTCATTTCATCAAATTGACATAATCCGAGCGAATCTCATTGAAATGTTAAAAATCAATTGAACAATTTTCTTTTTCTTCAATGACGTTGTATCTTTTTGATTGATCATAAAGATGAAATTAGACATCGACGATGTTCAAACAATTATGTGAATTAGACATTCAAGTTCAGTTTCAATTTTATATCTGCCGATGTATAATCTAATAGAGGTTAAAGATGATAGATGACAAAGGAACGTCGTTTGTCGAAAGAAACAAAGCATCATCTCACTCAGAGCTTAATATTAATTTCGTATATTCATCGTTTTTAGAAAATATTGCAGACGAGAAGTAAACTTGTCGATACTTTTATATTACTTTTATGCGTGTTCAGGGCTGTATTAATACTCCTTTTCAGAAGAAAAATGACTTTCAGCTATTATAAAACCGATTTGTTGTTACTAGTTGAAGTTTGAAATTAAAATGGCTCTCTTTTTTGACAGTTTTTATCGATTAGGAAATAAGATTGTACTGGCAGATCTAGCAAGTTAACTAAAGTTCAAGAAGTTTTAACGTTGAAAGCGACGAATAAATGAAAGATCATGGAAGAAATAAAAAATACGACATATTCGCATTTTACATTAATCTAATGCAAGCTGATACAACGAATAATTTTGCGCACCTACACTGCCTTTTTCATCTTTCTCTCTCTCTCTCTCTCTCTCTCTTTCTCTGTATATATATATATATATTTAGTTTTTTGTGCATTAACAAAGATTTAATATCCATTATACAATGTATGGTGCGCAAATAACCGATGCGTCATCTAATCACTTTTTGATAAGATTGTCAGGTCTTTTTATAATGCTTTGAAGATCTTGAGGAAGTGACTCATGTTAATAGATAGCAAACGGTTTATCATGAGTATCACAAAAAAAAGAACAGTGCAAATATTTCTTCAATATGACGTGGATTTGCGCATTATAATTTAATTCAAGGAAGTAGATACTAGTATAAAAACATCATTTTATGATAACATTTATATCAAATCATTTTGTATTTCAAAAGCTTCCAACAATATTCGTACCTCATTTTCTCTGCAAAACAGCAACTCAATGGTTTCAAAAAAGTTGTTAGGCACCAGTTTAACTTTTGGGCTACTGATTTTTCTCAACCTTACAGGTAATGTTCAAGGTGATACAATCTATGAGAGTGTTGCAGAGGCATGCAAATGGTTGAAGGAGAAGATTGGTTATGGATGCGATGGCATGGCAGAACGTTGGATCTGGTCAACTTATATGCGTCTCAGATATGGCGTGACAGATTGTAACAGTTTCTGTCAAAAATATCATAAAAAAAGAAGTGGCCGATGTACTACTAACTCAAATTATGACACAAGTACTTGGTGTCCTAAAGGCCAAACCTGCGCTTGTCAATAGAATTTGTATCTAGGACAAAAGTAATTTTACCGCTGTAACCCATTTTATTATGGATGTACCTTGTATTAATCACTCATTTCTTTGAATAAAATTTCTTTCTTCTATTCAATATTTGAGACAAGCATTACTTATGCACAGGATCATGAAAAAAGACACATGCTGCTTGAAGATGTGTCGTTTTCTTTGAAAAATTGTTTGCTTTGTCGACCAGATTCTAAAAACAATATTTCTCCCAACATCTATACAACAGAACATTTTGTGTACTATCAACTTTTTTCCTGCCACGATATCAATTGATATTTAATTCTATAGACTTGCAATGTTTGTTAAAATAAATTCCTTTACTAAAATTACTCTGCGTAACTGATGAATTTCAATTATTTTTCGTAA